GCACGCGCATGCGCGGTTAGCAGTAGCTGCCGGGCGGCCGCGGGCGGGATTGGTCTGGGGCGACGCCGGGACCAAGTGGCAGCGACTCGGACATCTGAGCTGCCACTGCGGAAAACGGGCCCCCAAGACAGGTGCGTGAACAGTAGGCCACTTTCCCGCTGCTCTTTCCGCCCGGCCTGGGGTGAGGAATCGGGGTCGTTGCCCCTTCCCCCAAGGCGGGGGTTGCTGGGCCGCACCCCTTTCTTCGGCGACTCGCCAGGCGGAACAGGTTGGGCGCAGGTGAGAAGGCGGATGTTGAGTTCGGGGATGGGGATGCGACGGGAGACTTCTTGGGCGAGCAGTCCCGGTTCGGGGGCGGGAAGGCCAGCCCCGGTGGCGGGAGTCGATGCCACCTCGGGTCCGTTGGGTCCTCGGGAACTGCCGTGTCCACCTGCTGCGCTGGGCTCCGGCGGGCGCGGGGAGGCCAGGAGCCCTCCGCAGCCCGGGCTGTCCCGGGGGGCTTACGGGGCCCGTGGGGGAGCCGAGGCCGTTATTCCAGCGGTTGCCATTTCAGCCCCGTTCCACGCTCGAGCCCCAGGCGCGCTCCCGAGGGGTGCAGAGGGGGCTGGGAGTGCGTCGCGACGCTGCTTATCTCGGCCGCAACTTCTCACAAAAACGCAAACAGAACCCAAATAGCCCCAGTTTACTCAGTCCCCGTCTCTGTAAAGGCGGAGGGACCCAGTCCTCCCAGCGATGGTGACCCGTGACTCCTGGCCACTCCCTAGATGTGCTGCCTGGAGCCCGGCGTGCGCCGCTGGGGACTGAGCGAGAGGATTGAGTTAAATCCAGCGAAGCCCTAATTGCTAGAGACTCATTATCGCCTGAAACCTGTTTATGATCAATCAGACACTTCAGCTGGTTTTATTTATAACATCTCCCCAAGCAGCAAGGAGGAGGCATTTGTTCGGGATTTAAAAGCAAAGGGCAGCAAAGCTCAGAACGGGGAGAGAAGGTAACTCGAATGGCTGTGGGGAGAAATCTCGGAAGAGAGTTAGTATAGAAACTTTTTGATGCGTAAAAGTCATCAAAACCGTGATCTAATCTTAAAATTTTGGTTGCTTTAAAAATTTTTACATCACTATAGGTCGTTTAGTCACTATGGGCAACCCTGTTTTTGGTGACTGTAAGTTTGACCTTCTCAAGTTTACAGTTTTGCTTTCGCATTTAATTGGTTCAATCGTCCAGTCAGATTTAGATCTCATCCCTGAATCCTTAGAACAAAGTAGTCTGTATTCTTTATTTAGTTGAAAAAGTTGCTTGTGTGAACGATGTATGTTGATGAATCTGTAGAAATTGAACAGTGCTGGAAATTAGCTTTACTGTTTATTTTCAGTACCTAATAAGTTTTAGTGCTCTTAAATAGAAAGCTTTAATAGATCTTTAGATCATCTAGTTTAACCCTTTCACTTGACAAATGTTAAAACAGGCCCAGAACAGTTTTAACTCCTGACTTTTTAAAAATAGAACTAGACGCTCGTTGCCATGGTGTCAAGTTCAGTGTATTTTCTCTATATCATTCTGTAGTCGAGCTCCTGAAACTGTAGGACAGGTAAAACGTCAAACGCGGTTTCTGAGGCATACCAGTGTTGAGTGAGTCCCCAGTCAGCTATTAAAACTGAGTAGCAGAAAGGCATCTTGGTTATAAGAAATAGTCTGTAGAAAAGACTAAAAGTGTTTGATAGGTGACTACTGAAGAGAGTGAAAGAAACGAGTCTTAAAGGGGGAGAATTTATGCTGAGAACTACAGAGAATATTGACCATTTTTATAAACGGGTAGTAAAATAAGATTTGTGTTTTTTAGAAAACTCATGCTAGAGAGAAGGTGGAGGATAGATTTGGAGATTGGCAAGACTGGAGCTGAAGAGGTAAAGTGGGAGTTTACTAATCCTATTCAGAAAAGATGCGTTCCTAAATTAAGGCTGTGGTTTGGGGATAGAAAGAGACAATTTAGAAATACCCAAATGTATTTAGTTACCAATGACACAGGCACTCTGTGAGAAAGAGTAGTCTTAAGATAATGGTTTACTGGAGGTACAGTTAATGGGAGAAAGGAATTAATGAGATGGAGAAGCAGGCTTGGGAGAAAAGACTCAAGTTCTACTTAATGGAGGCTTCGGGACATCCTTGAAGATGGATAGTGATGAGAAACTAAAGAGTGAGTGACCTCTGAGCTGTGAAGGAGATTTGGAAGTCCTTAGTCAGCTTTTATAGATAGAAGCTAAGAGTATGTATAATATAAGAAGAGAGGCTGGGGACAGAACCCTAAGGAACAGCAGTATTTACTGAAGAGTAGAGAAAGTACCCATGAAGGAGGCAGAGAAAAGGAAAGAAGATGAAGAATCAGGAATAATAGTACCATAGAAACCAAGGGAGAAGGGGCTTCATAGGAGGCGGCGGTCAGCAAGGTCAGGCGGTGTAGTAGGCCGTCGGACTGGAAAACGCTATTGTACTTAGCAACTTAGATTTGGTGGGTAGGGACAGTTTCAGAGAAGCTAAAGTAAGAAATAATAAAAGTATTAGTTTTTCATTGCCGTCATAGTAAATTATCACATATTTATCAGCTTAAAGTAACAAATTTATTTTCTCACAGTTCTATAGGTCAAAAGTCTGACACAGGAGTCAGTGAGCTAACATCAAGGTGTCGGCAGGACATCATTCCTTACTAGAAGCTCTGGGGAGACTCCACTTCCTTGCTCCATCAGGTTGGTGGCAGAATTCAGTTTCTTGTGGTTGTAGACTGAGGTTCTTGGTTCCTTGTTGACTACCAGCTGAGGGCTGTTTGCAGCTTCTAGCGGCCACCCACGTCCCTTGGCTCGTGGCCCCCTTACTCCATCTGCAAGGTCCTCATGGTGGCGGGAGTCCCTCTTGCTCTTCAGATCTCTTCTGCCCATCTCTCATTGACTTCCTGTTCCACTTTTAAAGGCGCATGTGGTTATAGTGGGCCTGCCTGGATAATCCAGGCTACTCTCCCTAATTCAGGGTCAGCTAATTTGCACCCTTAATTCCATCTGCAAAGCCCCTTTTGCTGCATGAGCTAAGGCTTAGGGTCAGGACATCTTTGTATAGGAAGTTAGAAGTATTTACGGTTAATGATGTTCTTTCTAGAAGCTTTTGTTAAGGAAAGGAAATACCCAAAAACATATTAGTTAGCATATGATAATTATACTTCAAATAGCAAGCCTTACTGTTTATCCTTGAGACTGTTAATAAGAAATACAAGTATCTTCTTAAATATCCTGCGCTTCGTGTGAAAACTATAAAATTTTAAAGTGTCATAGAAAGATAAAGTATTACCATGAAGTTGTTAGTTCTTATATTTTTATATAGCCTCAGGCTGCTTTAAAAATGTTTCCTGGGAAGATTTTAAAGCCCGTTTAACTAAATATATGTACATAAAATATAATTTGAATATACATTTGAAAAATATGGATCTTACAATATAAAACAGAAACTGAAATGTATGTCCAAGGCATGGAACATAATAAAATATTTAACCTTGTATTATATTTTATAAGCCTAGAACTTTAATGCCATGTAGTCAAGATTAAATTAATAAACCTAACATTAGACTCATAATGAAAGGAATGGCGAGCTTGAAGCAAGACCTAACTTTGAGTCTTGCCTCTTCTATTTGATAGCAGTCTGTGTTCTTGGGTAAGTTACTTATCTCCCCGAGCTTGACTTTTCTTGTATGTAATGGGATACCAGTACCTCCGCCACAGTTCCGTAAAGATTGGAATTAATATGCTTGAATCACAGGTACTCGAAACAGCACTGTGACCCTTCCTTCACTCTTCCTCTCATCACACGCTGCTTCCTTTGTCCTTGGCCTAAGGAAATCAGTCGTTTCTATACTTTGCATCTCACTTTAAATGTCACTTTCTCAAGGTGGCTTTCTCTGACGCTTCGCCTACCGTGTAAATTCACTTCCCCCATTACCAGCTCTTAAGGACTTCTTTGCCTCTCTGTCAGCTATTATAGTTTACATGTTATACCTGGGTTATTTGTTACACCTCTGCCTCCATCCTAGACTCTAAGCTGTTTGAGATCAAGGGTCAAGTATGTTTTGCTAATTACTAAAAATTCAGTGTCTGACATAATGCCTGCCGCATAATTGACAGTCATCAATATTTGTTAAATGAATTAATGAATGATGAATTTTATCTATTATCTGCTGGCTAGCCTCCCCTGAATTTCTGGAAACGTTATTAGCCATCATGCAATGAAGAAATCCCTGATGCAGCTTGTTCTGAAGCATGCTAGTTTTCTTCTGTGAGCAAACAGCTGCATTTCAAATTGATCTTACAGCTTCTTTGGAAGAAGGCTGTCTGGCTATTACGTCACTGTTATTTTCCTCTCCACCTCACTTATGATTCTTCAAAAGGAATTTTCTATGTGCTACATAGCCAGATAATGCCAAGAATACTCTCTAATATTGGTGAAAATGTGTCCACTTCTATTTTTGTGATGTGATAACAAAACTTTATTTTTTCTGTTTACTGTCATTTCTAGTAAAGCAGATTATTAGTTGAGTTGTTCAAATGCAGCATTGTCTATAGCAAAATTCTGAAATAACTCACAATTGGAGGTTTTCACAGATGTAGAGTAGAATTTAAAAATATGATGAATTTCCTCATATTAAATTAGATCATAAAACTGCAAACTTTCTAGACTATGATCTCCTTTTTTTTCTGTAGAAATGCTTTCACTGTGTTGTTTTAACAATGTTCTGACAAACTTTAGAGGACCAATTTTAGAAGCATTGATGTAACTATTTCTCATAAATTCATAGGTAAAGACATCTATCATGTAAGGATTCTGTCCACAAATTTATCTAGGAGTTAAGTTCTAGAAAAGGATTTTTTCCTCCATAGAGCTTGTAGACTTATCGATAGCGAACACTCCATTTTATTTCTGGTTTACCCCCAATTGCCTAGAAACCCCTTTGCTAAATTTGTTGGTGCCATGTTGCTATAAGAAATTCCTCCTAGTTGGTTGCTTAGTAACATCTATTTCCCTCCTTCCGGTAACCTTTTTTTTCTGTCATTTATTCATTCATTCATTTATCCTATAAACATATATTTGTTCCTATTTATCACGCACTAGCTCTTTGGGACACTATGAATACAGAAGTGATAGAGAATCCCAGCCCTCAGTGAGCTTGTATTTATGCCTGTTCTATGTTTTGCGGGTTACCCAAGCTACTATTTTGGAACTATGTAGAGATAGTATAAATTCTAAATAAATAAATGTATCATTATAATGTTTATATAAACACTATTTTGAAAACAATGCCATTTAGTCAATTTTAACATTAGTGTGTAGCTATGGTTTTAAAATCCAGTGCAAATTTAGTTCATTCTTTAGGATTTCAGTTCTGATCATTTCACTAATCTCAAACATTCAGTAGTTTCATTTGTTGGATTAGATTCAGGCTCCTTGGAATGCTTTGTGGCACTTTGTTGCCTAAACCGCCAGAAAATTGTATTTCCAGTTTATTATTTCTGATGTTATGGTTATTTTCTTGTGTTTTGCTGTATTTCTTGAGGTATTTTCATTGTTTCTAGATCCTTCTGATTTAGAAAAAGATACCCAGTTTAGTTAACAGTATGCTTAATTAAGGTAATGCTCAAATAGGAAAAAAAACCTCAGAGGCTTAACACAGTTTCTGATTCCTGGTATTCCAGGAGAGTGGATGGCTGTGATGGTTAATTGTATGGGTTGACTGAACCACAGAGTGCCCAGATATTTGGCCAAGCATTATTCTAGGTGTGTCGGCGAGGATGTTTTGGATGAGATTAACATTTGAGTGATAGACTGAGTAAAGCAGATTGTCCTCCCCAAAGTGCATGGACCTTGTCCAATCAGTTGAAAGCCTGAATAGAACGAAAAGGCTGATCCTCCAGTGAGGAAGACAGAACTCTTCCTGCCTGACTGTTGAGCTTAGACTTCAGTCTTTTCCTTCCTTTGGACTTGAGCTGAAATGTTGACTCATCGTGAGCCTGCTGGCTCTCAGGCTGGAATTTATCATTGGCTCTCCTGGCTCTCAGGCCTTCATACTGCATCATTGGCTTTCCTGGGGATCATCTAACTCCAAGGAAAGTATAGTCTAGTTATGTACCCTGGAAAAAAAAGTAGCTTGGTGATCAGCTAGCAATCTCTCTCACACTTTACAACAAATATCGAGTATCCTGTGCTTGTTTTATTTTGTGTGTGCTCTAGCTACCTTTGATGTGGGATTGAGCATTTCTTCAATACCAATAAATGAACTGCACTTTATAATTTGTGATTTGGGGCTGGCAGTGGAGATTCACTAGGGCTTTTAGATGATGTCGGTAAAATTTTTTGAGACAGAACAGGCTGCATGGCGTTGGTTTCAGAGATTAGGGAGAATGGTATCTCATACTTAAATAAAACTACTTATACTTCACTTTGTCATTGTATCAGCCCAGAATCAGTGCGGAGAACATACACGAGTTCAAAGATCCATGCAAATGAATGGACTTCTCCAAGTGCCTCCCTTCTTCCTCATGAAGGCACAAATGATATTTGGTGATTTCAGCAACCTGTGTGGAGTAAGGAATACACAAGAAGCATAGAACCATGGGCGTGCCATCTTTTATACATTTATAAGGAGGGAAGGCAGTAGCATCATCACTAAAAGTTTTACCTTATGCCATATAAACAAATTCTTGCTGCACTGCAACTGCGTAACTTAGGACCACCATGTAAATGAATACAGAAATAGAGAACTTGAACAATATTATAGACCATTTAGACATAATAGGCATATATGGAACACTCCACCTAGCAAGAGAAGGAAGAAAAATGAATACCAGTTAATTAAAAGAAATATTAATACCAATCGTTCTCAGATTCTTCCAAAAAATTGAGGAGAAGGGACTATTTCCAGACTCATTCTATGAAGGCAGCATTACCCAGATACCAAAGCCAGAGACAGGCAGCACAAGAAAACTACGCACCAATGTCCCTGATGAATATTGTTACAGATGCATTTTTTTCTGAAGTGCACATGAAATATTATCTAGGATAGACCATATGGTAGCCAACAAAACATGTTTTAATAAATTTAAAAAATCAAATCATACAAAGCATTATTTCAACCTACAGTCTAATGAAAATAGAAATCACTAGCAGAAGGAAAACAGGAAATCCTCAAATATGTGGAAATTAAACAACACAGTCTTAAAAGCGTCAAAGAAGAAATCACAAGGAAATAAAAAGGTATTGAGATAAATGAAAACAAAAACACAACATACCAAAACTTATCAGATACAGTGAAAGCAGTGCTGAGGGAAATGAATAGCTCTAGATAGTTAAAGTAAAAAAGAACGGTCTCAAATTAACAACCTAAAGTTACACCTTAAGGGACTAGAAAAACCAGAGCTAGCAGAAGGAAGGAAATAATAAAGATTAGACGAGAAATAAATGGAATAGATCATAGGTAAACAGAAAATCAGTAAAACCAAGAGTTGATTCTTTGAAAAGATCAACAAAATTGACTAACCTTCAGCTGGATAGAATAAGAAAAAAAGAAAGACTCAACTAAAATTAGAAATGAGAGTAAATTACAACAGATTCTATGGATATAAAAGGGATTGTAAGAGAATATTATGAACAATTATATGCCAACACACTGGGTAACCTAGATGAAGTGGACAAGTTTCTAGAAACAACCTTTTAAAACTAAATCATGATGAAATAGAAAATCTGAACAGACTTATAACTAGTAAGGAGGTTGAATCAGTAATCAAAAACCCAACAAAAGCCCAGGAGCCGGTGGCTTCCCTGTTGAATTGTAAAAAAAAAGTTAAAATCAGTCCTCCTCAAAATCTTCCAGAAAATTGAAGAGGATGTAAAACTTTCAAACTCATTGTATGAGGGCAGTAATACCCTGATACCAAAGCCGGATGAAGAAACTACAAGAAAACTATAGACTAATATCCCTAAAGACTAGTAATACAAAAATCCTTAACAATTGAAAGAGTTATACACCATGGTCAAGTGATTTATTCCTGGAATGCAAGGATAGTTCAACATATGAAAATCAAACAATATAATACACCACATTACCAGAATAGAGGCAAAAAAACCCACATGGTTATCTCAGTTGATACAGAAACAGCATTTGACAAGACTCAGCACCCTTTTATGATAAAAGAAACACTCAACAAACTATGAATAAAGAAACTATCTCAGTATAATAAAGACCATGTATGAAAAGCCAACAGCCAAGACCGTACTCAGTGGTGAAAGATGCAAAGCTTTTCCTCTAAGAGCTGGAACAAAGCAAGGATGCCTGCTTTTGTCACTTATATTCCACATGGTACAGGTTTCCCTCACTCTCCAAAAGTAGATTGTTCCTACAAAACCTTTCAAAAGTCAAAATGGTGTAAAGCTGAGAATACTACCCACTTTTGGAAAGTGGGGGATACCTGTACTAGAAGTCCTAGCCAGAGCAAGTAGGCAAGGAAAAGAAATAAAAGACATCCAAATTTAAAAGGAAGAAGTAAAATTATCACTCTTCACCAATATCTTATATGTAGAGAAAACTGAAGATTCCATCAAAAAAACACCAAACCCTGTTAGAACTCATAAGGAATGGTGGTTGCCAGAGGCTTGGGAGGTGGGAAATGCGGGAGGTGTCGAATGAGGATGGCTTTAGTTACGGTTCTAGAGCCTGGTCACAGCACTACAGATGCCCTTCACGCTACTGAACCGAACAGGTAAAATCGGTTTAAATGGTAACTTTTGTGTTATGTGTATTCTACCACAATTAAAAAAAAATGTTTTTTAAACTGCTGCACCGGTTAGTTACTTCAAAGCTCTAGTACTTGCCTGGCAATATTTTACTTCTTCTTTCAAGAAATGATATGTGACAAATCTCACAGTTCTGTTTGGAGTTTCATGACACGTTGGCACTGCAGGGTGATAGACTTCATGATATACTTCTCAATCGTCAGCTGGTATACCATTGAATAATGATAGAACACTGAAGAATTAAGCAGAAACCATTAGGTCTGTATTTCTGATTTTTTAAAATGAATAACAATAACCTTGGACTGTGTGATTTTCTTAATGACAATTATTATCCAGTAGAACTGCATTGTCTGTGGAATGGTTCGTGACCACTTGCTGTTTATTTTTAAGTATTTCACTTGTATAGGAAGGTAGATATGGCCGTTTCTGGGTAAATATCTTCATAGCTTACTACTACTAATTTTACTAAGTACTAAATTTTAGAAATTTCCAAGATATTAAAAATATCTGCTGTTAGCATTTTTATGATTTCTTTCCACTGCTTTATCAGTAAGCATATAATGCAGTAAGATTAAAACAAGAGGTAGCATGGTAGCAGGGGTAAGATTAAAACAAGAGGTAGCATGGTGTAATTATGTAAAGGTTCTGGATTCTAACCTTGTTTCACATTTCTAGTCATGTGAATTTGACCAGGTTTTTAAAATCTTTCTGACTTCAGTTTGTCGATTGGAAAAAATGATACCTATCCTATTCATATCCTGAGCCGCAAAGATTGTTATGTAGAGTAGGGTTCTAGGAGATCACTGCCTGTTGGCCTCCGTTAATTCTCCCTGGCAGCCCCGTACATCAGAGCTCAAACAAAGCACTAAGGACATATTTTTTTTCAACAACTTAATTATTAAGAAAATAAAGTGTATGTTCATTTTGAAGATGTGGGTGTAAAGTTATATTAACATTACTGTTCTTATTTTATGCATTTCAGTTTTACTCAGATGTTATTGACAGTGAAGCAAAACACCTTTTCCTACATTATATAAGTCATGCAAGGCTCTTAAATATTTAGAAGCTTTTATGGTTATTAAAAATTAATAAGCAGTTTTTAAATGTGTTTATTCCTGTGCTTGTAAGTGAAAATTTTAAAAATAAACCTAACTATTGTTATTGAGTCAGATTGCTCTTTCATTTACTTCCTGTCCCAGTCACACCTCTTTATGATTCAGAGAGCCCAGACTCTTCTGACAAATGACAGCATGCATAAGTTTTTGGGTCGTTTTATCCATAAAGATGATGGTATTAACATATTTTTAATATAGAATGTTCATGTTATGGTAGATTGGTATTGATTTTAAAAAAAGAACATGCATTTTTATGTTTTCAACTTTAGAGTCGTAGCCAGTGACCTTTAGAAGAAACCAAGGCTAGCTGGCCCACACTTCCATGTGAAGTTTTGACCTCATTAAAGAGGGTTCTAATCAGTTGAGCTGACTGATGGGAAACAAGCTCTTTATCATCTGATTTTTCTTTTTTAGAAAAATTACTTGCACACCTTCAAGTTCACCTCAGTCAGTGGGTTTTAATATACTTGCATTTATTCTACTTTTAGAACATTTCGTCATCCTCACCCCAAAAAACCTTATATCCATTAGTCCTTACCACTCTTTTCCCTAGGCAATAACCAGTCTATTTTCCATTTCTCTGGTTTCGCCTATTTCTTTTACATGAGATCATACAATATGTGGTCTTTTATTACTGGCTTCACTCAGCATCACGTTTTTGAGATTCATCTGTCTTGTAGTATATCAGTCCTCCATTCTGTTTTATTACGAAGTAATATTCCATTGTGTGGATACTTCACATTTCGTCCATTCTTCAGCTGATGGACAGTTTGCCTATTGAGAAAAAAATGTTTCTTTAAACATTTGTATTCTAGTTTTGGTGTGGAGTGGACATCTGTTTTCATTTCTTTTGGGTAGACACCTAGTAGTGGAATCGCCACGTCTTATGGTAACTCTATTTTTAACATTTTGAAGACCCGCCACACCATTTTCCAATGTTATCGCATTGTTTTACATTCCCATCACCAGAGTATGAAGGTTCCAATTTCTTCACATCTTTTCAACATTTGTTATTGTCCCTTTTTGATTATAGCCATTCTGGTGGGTGTAGAATGCTGTCTCATAGTTCTGTATCTTAAGCAGACCCATATAGGCCTGTAGATATGTTCTGGAGGATTTAAGAGTTCTCACTAAGAATTTACTTTTTTTATTTTGTATTGATGGTAACTTTGGGGAAAAAAAAAAAATAGAACTATACTCTGGATCACCTGGATCCAGACCGCAGATGATACTCTGGATCATCTGACCACACTCTAACCAAAGGCTGCCACACTGTTTCAGGTCCATGTTTACTTGGTATTTAAAATTCCATTGGTACCAATAAACAGATCTTAAATTTTCAACATTCTAATGGGAATAAAGAACATAATTATGTAAATCATGTATTTCTGCCAAGAGGCCTCTCATCTCAATTCTGTAGGTGTAGAAGTTTCGCAGTGTTTGAATAGAGAAAAGGGTAGATAATTGAGTTGTCACAGTGTTATAAGAATGATAATGCAAAAGAACTTTATCCATAGCAGTCAGCTGGGTTGCAATAAGCCCCAAATTTGTTTGAGGTTTAAGCTGTGATTTGATTCCAGCAAAAGACTATCACATTAAATTACGATAAAATTATTTTTCTTTAGTTTTTTTGGTGTTTATATAAAAGTGTATTTTGGTTTTATAATTACAAAATTTTCTATTATATGTTTGTATACACTTAAGCAACATTGTAATAAAAGGAATTTAAACAAAAGTTTAGGAATTGTCCTTTTTTTCCTTTAACGAGGTTCACAGTTTATTTGGTTATCACAATTCTCTATCTCTTTAGGTTTTGTGCCATTGGCTGGCTGTCTGTTTTCAGAGGCAGGCCTGAAGCTCTAGATTCTGTGCTCTGTGAGATTTCAAGTTTGTATTTTCACTTGTTCAAATAATAGTTTATGTAATTTTCTTAATGATTTGTTTTAAAAGCCATCATGGAATAAAAGAGGTATTAAGGAGAGATTATTTCTTTTTAAGTAAACTTACACATATTTTTCACAACTTTGTTTTATTTTCATTGATAACTTTTAATTCACAGATAATCAATATGTATTTCCAAGGCTTTGGGCTATGTTTGGGTCTTCTGTTCATCTCAGTTAATGCAGAATTTATGGATGATGGTGTTGAGATGGAAGACTTCAATGAAAATTCAGAAGAGATTGATATTAATGAAGTTGAACTCTCCTCAGAGGTGAGGATATTGAGGTGTAAATTATTCATTGACATGCTACATAGCAGTGACTAATCTCTTAAGATTTATTTTAGTCCTAATAGTCTTCATTTTATAAATAAATAGAAAAGCATTTCCCATTTATTTGTTGCTCTGTGTTTTAGAATGCCTGTAGACTACAGAAATGTGTACATGGCCCTTTACATGGCCCTGTTTTATTACCAAATAAATATAGGGAAGGTTTTTATTATCGAAATAGTTCATCACTGGTTAAAAAGGACTAAGTACTTCCAGCTTAGAGAAAGATTTTCAGTCTTATTTCTGACACTGCCAGCTCTCCTCAGAGAAAAGAAAAGGTAATATAATTTGCAGTTCTCTCAAAAGTAAAGGAAGTAGCTTTTCTTTATTTCTCTGAGGAAGGAAAATGCTAAGTAGGAGATGAATTAGGAAGGGAAGTGATGATGAGCTAGGCTAGTAAAACCTAGCTGTGTTTCTCAGCGTCGTTAAGATGTGTCGTGAGGTGGTGACTAACAGGAGTCTGAAAAACTTTTACACAGAATTTTGTGCATCTTGACAATCCATGAGAGCTTTCACATTGAGGAATATTCATATCTAATATTAGGACAATCAGAAACTTTTTTCAGAAATTTTTTTGATGGTGAGAAAGCATCAATTGTAGCAGCAACTGCCTAAAGGGCCAATGAGAATAATATATAGTTGTTTTAATCTTCTTTGCCTCACTTCCTTTCGAGTTTCTTTGCAAATTCAAGTGTCGTTCAGCTGTTTAAGGTGAATGAATATTCATTCTCCTGTTAAATTTTAAGCTCCACAGCACATACTTTTAAAACATAGTTCTATGAACCACAGAAAGTAAGTAATCAAAATGCTAATGACTGAGTTAGATACAGCTACTACAAGGGTCTTTGGAGGTTAATACTTCAAACGAATTGGCAGACACCTGCCACTCTTTACTTGGTGATGATTTGAAAAGATGATTAAGACATAGGAAAGACCAGTTTTGATTTTTCCCCCTTCTCATTTTATAGAATGAGTAATCTAGATATGGTAAGGTACAAGTAAAGTACAAGCAAAGGGCAAACTGCTAGTGATGTAAAGGGTGGCCTGTCAGAAGATGGAGCCCCTTCTCGTGCCACTGCCCATTTTCCATTTCACCAGTCCCCAAAAATAGAACAGTAAAGTTGTAATTCGGTCAACTTCATGGAAGATTGACAATTTTGATAACAATCTAGTGAGATTTTCTTTAATTAACTGATTTTTCCTCCTTTTAACAGACAGGAAACGTACTATCTGGGCAAGGTAGGGACAGTGAAAATCGAAAAAGTCCGCATCATTTCTCTAAAGGCTGAGAGAAGAAATCTCATAAGCAGTTATACAAATAAAATCACAAAGGCTGATTCAGAAAGGACCCAGATTGATCTATTACTTTAGGCAAAATTTAATGTTATCAATTCAAATTATTTTTTGATAATTTGTCAATAAATGATTTTTATACTTTTATTTTCTTGGTACGTTTTATGTAGCGGAGTGGTTAAGTATGTAAGCTGTGGAGCTGGACAGCCTGGGCTCGTATCTTTGAAGTCCTACAGTTATCTAACCGTGAGACAGTGGGCAAGTTACTTGGCCTCTGTCCCAGGGTGTCTTCATGCGTAAAACAGGTGCTTCCCTCAAAGAGGGGTGAAGAGGATTAAAAGGGCCACGGTATCACCACCAGCACCATCATCCCCATCATCACAGCAGCTAACGCTGACATGGCGCTTGAAACAATCCTCTGCCAATAACTGCTTTGCGCTGCTTTCTTTCCTGAACATTTTTCTTCTCTGGATTCCTAATCTCTCAAAACGATGTGATCATCCTCTAGTCACATAACAGTGACATTTAAGAGTTCATTTTCAATTAGCCTACATGCTTACCCAGTTTTTCCTTTTATATATTTTCGATCATGCTATTTCTTTTGCTTCTGATGATTTTTATCCCCGAATATTGTCACCCGTTAGAATCCTTTTAAGGCCGTGTCAGCTGTAGCGTGAGGCCTTCTCTGATTACTTCCTCCCGTTCCTCTGTGTTGGAAAGAATCAGTGCATCCTCTGTTTGCACATATTTTTCCATCATCTTATTTCTTATATTTTCGTGTCTTATCACCACTAAGATATAAAGGTCAGAGACCATGTTACTTTATATTACCTACATGTTCGTTACATACTCAGTTTTTAAATAGTGAGGTTATTTAATTAAAATATTTACGAGGACGAATAACTTCAGACTTTTAAAAATTATTTTCTAGATCAAATACAAGACACCTCAACCTATAGGAGAAGTATATTTTACCGAAACTTTTGATAGTGGAAGGTTGGCTGGGTGAGTATTCATTCAAGAGAATATTTTCCTTGATTTGATTAGCTTTTTTGAAGTTGTTGGTTGTTGCTTATGAAAATTGCCTCTACTATGGAATTATAAAAAAATGTTAAAGTGCTTCAACAGTGTAAGCCAGTACCTTAACACATTTTTGTTATTGAGAGAAATGATTAATTTGAATAGTTATTCATTTATGTAAAGAAAATAAATGAATTATGAATATAAAGTAACAATTTGTAACAGTTCTTCATCCCTTAGGGCAGGTATTAATAATCTAATTTCATATAACAAATTCAAGTTATTGTTCCATTCTAAATAATGGTAAAATAATAAAAATTATTATTATTATATGTCACACACTGTTCTAAGTAGGCAAGTAAGTACTGTCTTTATCTCATTTTATAGGTGAGGAAGCAGGCTTAGTGTATCTTACCTGTGATCATACAGCTGGTAAATTGCAGATTCCAAATTTGATTTAACTCTAGCCTTGCAGTATTATGTATAGGCATCCTTATTTAGTATTTATTTATTTTTGAATGCAAAGTGACTGTTGGGTAATTTTGTGTGTGTGTGTTTCTAATATCCATTGTATCTATAAATTGCTGGTCTTATTTTTGACGATACACATTTGCTTTTACCTTTATTTATAGGTGGGTCTTATCAAAAGCAAAGAAAGATGATACAGACGAGGAGATTTCTATATATGATGGTAAAATATTTATTTAAATATTCAACATAACCAGTATGAACCAAAGTTCACCAGCTTTTGAGATTATATTTGTAATATGTTAATATATGTATGCACACACATAGAGCCTGAGGCCCATCCTGCTTCTCAATAGAACGTTCAGTCTTTTTACTTGTCTCCTTCCCAGTATCCTTGGAAATCCCCAGCAAGCCATACTTAAGCCACCATCCAGTTTTCTAACTCTGATCAGTTGAATTTTCACTCCACTGCAGTTAGTCGTTGCATTTCCCGAAGCAGTATTTCCCAGGCTACTGGTATCACTGCTTCATCTCAAGCGTGGGCTCACCTAGATCAAGTTGTAATTTACAGCAGAATTCTCCTAGCAAGTACAAAACAGGAGAATTTACTAGAGCTGCAAGATTCGTCTTCAGGCCTCACAACCTTTATCACTGGGTCTGTGACAGGGTTACATTGAGGCTTAGCTATAGGAAGAAATGTCCTGTATGCAAGGGTCATCTTTTCTTCCCGAACAGGGCTTCCTGGAGTATGACAAAAGAATTTCTTCTTTCTTCTGGTCTAAAACCAGCCTCTTCAATTGTTATATCCTAAAGCAAGATCAGCCTCTTCTCAAGGTGACTGCTAGTGGGAATTTTCTCTCTCAGAAGACCTCATACCCAGAAAGATGGGACCTCACACTCAGACCCCAACAGGCAGTTACCTGCTTGGCCGAAAGTTCTGAGAGCTGATTGGCTTAGCCTGGGAAGGGCGACTGCAATTTGTGTTCAATGGGCATACAGTTTTCAAAATAAAATGTAAATCTCCACAATAACTTCTGCAAAGAAAAGTAGCTGATGATTACCATGTATTTCAAAGTAAATAAGACTGGGGCAAACTGCATTTTCTGTTAAGGATGCTCTTTCTCTCATGTAATTTAAAAATATCTCATTTTAAAAATAAAATGATGATAGACCCTCTGAGACAAACCATGTTTTGTAATTTCATTGATTAAAAAATCTTTCAGAGAAATCCAAACTAAGTCAGCCTTAGAAGTGCTTTAATCAAATATAGTAGTATTTGTTATTTATTATTTTCCACAATTTTAGCTAGGAAAATGAAACCATTCTCTGCTAAGAGAAAAAAGAGCAGGCACGCATACAGTTGCAGGTATTATTTCCTGATTTGAAATTTTATTTTTCCCAAATCAGCCTTCACGGAAAAATCTTATTGGTCACCACTGTTGATAAATAATTCTGTAGTCAATGTTATGGTGTTAATTTAATTTGTTTTGCTTTATATTTTAGGAAGATGGGAAATAGAAGAATTGAAAGAAAACCAAGTACATGGTGACAGAGGACTGGTGTTGAAATCTAGAGCAAAGCATCATGCAATATCTGCTGTGTTAGCTAAACCTTTCATTTTTGCTGATAAACCTTTGATAGTTCAGTAAGTTTTATTATGTTTTTGAATATTTTCTGAAATACGTATTAGTTTTATATAATTTGGCTTCTGAATATAGCTATAATGTGTATAAAATGAGCATAAAAATCCAGATTTACCTTGTCAGTTTCACTTACTTACATATACAACCTAGGTATACATACAACACTCTGAGGTTTTGAGTGAAAAGCAGGTTAATTTAAAAATAATACATATTGTAAAAAGACAATTTTGCCACCATAAACTATATGCCTGCTAAAATCACCACTTTTATTTTAACTTTTTTCCTAAAATTGCTTGCTATTAAGATATTAACCTCAATATATTCATAATTCATTGCTGTTAAACCAGTGATAAGATTCAAAGGCAGCAAATTTATTTTAAAAAGGAAATACTTATATAGATCCGTGTCTTTATCGAGCATGGACCCCTTTGAAAAAGGGCACACGTGTTCGCAGATAACCTTTCTCTCCCCCGTAAGCTGGTTTTGTCATGATGGTGCTTGCCTTTATGTTTACTGCCATAAACGTATAAATTCCTCAGGCTTTTTTCATTTATACTGGTATAAAACCAAAATAGATTTATACAGATACAATTACAAAACCAGTCAAATTCATATAAAAACCAAGGAAAGGCAACGAATCGATGTTACTTTCTACCTTACATCAGAAGATTTGGCTGTCCAAAGCTAATTATAGCACAAGGAAATATCATAGCTATAAACTGCATCACTCTAGAATTCCTTCAGTTTTTCGTTAACATGTTGAACATGTTCCTGTGTGGTATAAGTAAAATGTCTTTTTGCAGTTTAGAAAAATTTGAAACTATGGCATTTGGTGTAATTGGCTTAATTTTGCAGTCGTGGTGCTTTGGTTTAGTTGCATTGTCATTTCGATAAATTTAAAATATTAATTTTAAAGAATCTACAACTAAACAAAATGTTGTTATAATAACTAAGACTAATATTTGAGCTTGATATTATCATTATTCAGGATTTGGTTTTTGTTTTCTCTTGAAAGTTTGAAAGTAATCTTATTATTCTGCTGAAACTTAAGTGAACGTACATTGCTAGGCAAGTAAGCAAAAGACAGCTTGCGAAATTAGAAGCAAAGACTGGATAATAAGTCTAAAAAATTATTGAAGCAGTTGTGACGTTATTATCCTGAAAGAAAAGGAGGACCAAGGGGAGGAGCTTCCTCCTCCTGTGTCTGAAAACAGTTCTAGAAGCAGCGTGAATGTTTGTCTTCTCTCAGTATTGATGAAATGAAATGGGATAAATACTGTGGATTTATGACATAACATTTCTCTAAAGCTGCTTTTTCCAAATTGTGTGCATGTCAATGGCATTGTGTGGTCATGCAAGTTTTGCAAACTAAGAATATCCTAACCTTAGAGATAAGGAAGCATATTTGCTCATTAAAGACTTCAAGAAGTTCTACATATAAAAATTGGTTTTTAACTTTAATACTGTGTTTCCCAAACATATTTGACCACAGATTTTTTGACCCCCTAACAACAATTACTGTTTCATGGAACAGTTTGGGAAATGATACTCTAAAGAAAATGGAGTTAACGTGTACTCTGCATACATTGTCATTTTTCTGTGACTAAAGATTAGCAGCAGTCAAAGTATGTGATGTACACGTCACCGATCTCTGACCCATTATGAATTATTTATATTAGGTACAAGTTAATGATTTGAAAACTCAAAAGTTTTCAGTGCAAGAAATAGACATAGTGATTGAGTGTAGACATAATAGGACATCAAAACTATGTGTACAGAGACAATTTACAAATTGTTCTTTTTAGTTCTTAGCTTTTCCTAGAACCTTTTGTCCTTAGATTATCCATAATAAAGCTATATCTTTTTATTTTGTTTTACCTAAAACAGTGAATGCGTTCCTTTAAGTCACATTGCAAACCATTTATTTTACTTTATAGTCTTCAAAGACTTGAATTTCTTCGTCAGCTGCTACCTAAGATGAAAATATTGATAAAGCTTTAAGGAAAATAAGCTGTCCTTTACTTAAAAAATGAAAGAAAAAAATAATAAAACCCCTTCTGGCTGTAAGAGAAGCTAACGTTTTTGAGCATTTATGTGCCCATCGCTGTGCGTGGTGTCCCTTAATCATCATGACAGCCTTTCGAGGTGTAGGTGTGGGCAGTGTCCCCGTATGATACATGAGCAGATAGAGGCTTAGAGCCTAAATAACTTGCCTTTACCCTCAGTGTCACTAGAATAAGCGGCCGAGTCAAGAATAAATCTCAGGTCTTTCTGACTCTAAAGTCCATGCTTGTCACCATAATCGTAGAGATCTTGACAATAAAGCAGAGCAGAAAGTATTGGGTGTGGGGGGAGCATCATAACCTGGCAACTCAGAGATAATCATTTAAAATTTTACTGTATTTCCCGTTTTTTTCCATATAAAATATATACACCAAACTGTCAAAGTTTTATATGCTTTCTTTTTTTACTTTCTTGTCACTACAGTTTCTTCAGAAACATTTTAAACAACAGTTCTTCCTTAAAAGTATCACTAGTTCCTGTTGCTTCTCTAGTTTTCTTCTTTTTCTTTTACTTCATTAAACCAAATCATAACCTTTTTGGTTTTCTCCGTTTTTCACTGATAGTTTTTTCTTCATCGATCTTTATCATGCGTAAGTCATGAATTTACCAAAGATCTCTTCTAAATACTGTTCAGCAGATCTCTATCTCATTGCCTAAACAAGACTATTTCCTTAAAATTTTTTTTTGGTTTTTTGCTGAGTAATTCTCAGTGTTGCAAATTCATGTAGATACTCTCATGACAGTTCACTCTTTTAGCTGTGACACTATTTCCTGTATGTCCGGGCCGTTAAGGTCTGAAATACTCCAGGTTCTTGACTGAGATTATGAAGCCTCTTTGCAGGAAGTATTAAATGTACAATTTATTTAACGTGGTGGGTGTAATTGAACTAAAAGACAAATGAGTAGTGGAGCAGATGTCTACGGTCATTAGCAGTTCTTTAGAAACCCGTTGCTGTAGCTATGGTCCTTGTGGTCTTTGTTTTTCAGTTTATAAAGATCTATGCCTAGTACGTACCATATCTGAATTCGAAGTTTTCTATTATAATTTTAGTCAAAGTATTTTATTAATTCAACAGTCTTGATGGAAAAAGCTATTTCAAAAATTACTTGGCTTTTTATAGTTGACAATAATCATTCTACTTTTAATATTTTAAAGATATCGCATAGAAAAAGCATTTCTGCTTGTTTCCTGTGGGTTGTGGATATGCTTCAAATGGGCTTTCTGGCAATGTAACACATTTATGTTTAAATGAATTGAGAGTAATACATTAGATTTTGAAGAGCAATTGGTAATTTTTATTTATCAGCAGTATGATTCTTTTTCCCTTCATTTAGATATGAAGTAAATTTTCAAGATGGTATTGATTGTGGAGGTGCATACATTAAACTCCTAGCAGACACTGATGATTTGAATCTGGTATGATATTTTAATGTTTAAGAAAACCTTATTAAAGTTAATAAGTATTTTAAGGAGTAATTGATAAAACATATTTTTATTTTCAAACTGAAATTGAAGACAACTTTGAAAACTTTGATCCAGCGTGACTTTTACAGTGTGCCTTCAAGTTTCGTGCATAGCTTTGTTACTTGATGGCATTCAGTTTTATAATCTTAAGCAACATAAAAAAGTTTGTCATGTTTATAAATAAAAAAATAACACGGTTTATAAATAAAAAATAAATGTCATTGAAAGATCAGCTTAGAGCTATTTTCTTTACAAAATAAGAATCATAAGTTTGTTCAGAGAAATAAAAGAACACAGCAAAGCAGTAAAATGAAATGGCCCAAGAACCAAATACGTATATATATTTTTAAAGGTAGCCCAGTTCAGGAGTTGGCAGCCCACAAAAAATAACTGAAGATGTTTTTATAACAAAGCAGGGTGTATTAGGACCATCCAAAGGCTGGGGACGTTTCTTTCGGCATCCCCCTGCAGGAGGCCGGGTCGAGGTTTCTGCATGTGACAGAAGCGATAGAAAGACATGTCAGTGAGATACTTGTCAGAATACATGGCCATGCGAAGGCTGCGAAGCATGGATTAAAGGGTTCATGTGCCTCTGTTAGGATCGGTAAAGGCGAGGCTGTTAGCAGTACATGTGGAAGCTCTTGTTTTAGGTATTACAAGGTGATGATGACCTGAACGCAGAATGACAATAATAAAATGCCAAGTATTCTTCCGAGCACTTTATCTAATTAACCCAGTTAATCCTCGGAGAAACCTTATGAGGTAGGTCCTGTTATCTCCATGTATCAGAAGTGACGAAACAGAACTACAGAGAGGATCAGAAATTCGCTCAGGGCCACATAACCAACAGCGAGTTTCAGTGGCAGTGGTAGGATCTGAATCCTAGTATCTGACTCTGGATCCCCTGCTCTTAAGCAGTAGACCATGCCACATGGAGAATAATTACTAGTAGTAAAACAGAAGTAGAAACAGTCTTTTGTGTCTGAAATCTCTCTTCACTCTGCCCTCGGGAGGGTCATTTTCTAGTATATTCCCGAATCATAGTGATAGGTGATCACTGTAGTCTTAAGGGCATAAGTATGCTTTTCTCTATGCTTAATTTTCTTAATAAAATACTAGTGAAGATTTACATAAAGTAATTAAAGCTTATTATGATGTTGCTAGGGTGGTTTCAACTTCCCTCCCTCCTACATCTTCAGGTAGGAAGTCGTGTCTGCTTTTTTAAAAAACATTATTTAGAAATAAAATTTGTGATTTTTTCCCCCATCCTTTATTGTCAACTGTATCAAATAACTCTTTGGTGAATTAACATTTAATACATTTTTGTAAACTCTACCCAATTGGGTAGAACAGAGAAATTCATTAAATACTCTAATTCTGGACTAATCCCAGCGCTCATCTCTCTTTGAAGGAAAACTTTTATGATAAAACATCCTATACCATTATGTTCGGACCAGATAAATGTGGAGAAGATTATAAACTTCATTTTATCTTCAGACATAAACATCCCAAAACTGGAGTTTTTGAAGAGAAACACGCCAAACCTCCAGACGTAGACCTTAAAAAGTTCTTTACAGACAGGAAGACTCATCTTTATACCCTTGGTATATCTTTTTCATTCATTCATTCATTCATTCAAAAATATTTGCTGACTACTGATATTTTCATGGCAGGTGCTTTGAGAGAAGCAAACATGGATCTTACCCTTAAGGAGCTTATCTTTTTTAGGAAAATAAGATGGACATAATTCTAGCTTAGGTAGAAAGCAAAGTGCTGTTTGAGAGGTACAGAACAGCTACAGTTAAGATTTGAAAAGCTTGTCTATGGCCACGCCCCCTGAACAAGCCTGATCCTGATTCGGAAGCTAAGCGGGGTCAGGCTTGGTTAGTACTTGGAAGGGAGACCACCTAGGGAGACCAGGTGCTGTAGGTGTAAAAAATTAAAAATAAGGGATTGTGAGCTGACAAGGTCCTTGCAATCTGTGAGGTTAACCGAGTTGCCTCACCTAAAAAAAAAAGATTTGAAAAGCAATATTTTCAGTTCGAAGACTCTGAGAAAACCTAGTGAAGGAGGTTGTATTTGAAATAGTCTTGAAGTGTAGATAGAATATAGAAGGTAGGATATTTTCGGCACTAGGACATTAGCGGTGCTGTAAGAACAGAAAAGTAGGGAACAGGGTTAAAGAGGAAGTCCGTGAGGCCAAGCCGAAGAGCTTAGACTTTATGCCGTAGGCAGTTGTGGTTATCGGTTATCATAAGCTCTACCTTGTGATGCTTGTGTCCTATAGTTAAACCTTGAAAGGGAAGCCATTGAGCAACCACATATTAATATACATACTTTACGTAGGTAGGGGTTTGCATAGATGTCGAGGGGAGGACCTTTATGGGACATTGTTTCTCTTCCCTAGTACGTGTGGTTGTGGAGCGTGGTCTTCCCAGGATTACATAAAATTACAGCAGGTCAGAACCTAACAGAACGACTCCACCCAAGACCAGAGTATTTCAGTTTTCTTTCCAAAGACTGTAGTTGCAGAGATAGTCACCTGGTCTGCCAAGGCAATGACCAGTTTCATTTTTAATGTCAGCGTTGACATCAAAGACCTTATATGAAATTGGAAAATAGTGCTGGATGTTTTGGGGAACATAAAGTAAGCTGTAGAAATAATGAGAAATTGTAACTAAAGCAGAAAAAATGAATTTAATCAGACTTTGTGTAAACCTAGTCAGAAGCCGTTTGGTCGTATATGTTAAAGGCCGTGGGAGGTTTCTGTCCTTTGAAACCACAGTTCCACTTTCAGGAATTTATCCAAAGAAAATGACCTATGTGTGAAAATATCCTGTAAATGGGAAGCACCCCAGACGTTACAGTAGGGGTTTTCTCTACAAAATGGTAACTGGAATGCTTAGCAACGCCAAAGAAATGCTTATAGTATTAAAATGGGGAAGGAAAACAAGATTCAAAGTGGAGGCACATAATGGCCACTAGGCAAATTAGGAAAGAAGAACTAATTGTCATTAATATCTGATAGGCACCGTGCTGTGAGCTGGCTACTTTGTTTAGAGCCATCGTGTGAGGTGAGCAGTTTCTCTATCTGGCTCTGACGTAGGATGACTGACCTGCTCAGGAAACAATAGGAACTGATAGGGCTGGAGCTGAAATTCAAGTCTGACTCTCAAACATTTGCTTTTCTTACTCCTGTACATAAAAACTTTGTCGTGCTAAGATTATCGACTGACTTTTTTTTCTTTTTAAAACTATCTATAATATTATATTTTTATAACATTCATTCTGTAGTTCTAAGAACCTTACAGCATATCTTCATTGCCTTTTATTGTAGATTCATTTAAAACCTTTAACACAGTTTTCTAAATGGAAATTTTTTTTTGTCCTAAGATTTTGGACAGAGTTGCTTTTTCACATATGCCTAATCGTCATGTGCTTTTTATTTTAAGTGTAACTTTAAAAATTCAATTTCAGTTGCAAAATTTATTCAGAAAACATCTAAAATTTTTCTTGAGAAAGCTCCCTTTTTTTTTTTTTTTGAATTAGGAAGGACTTAGTACTTTTTTGCATTTAAGGTCTTAGTTCTGCTTCAAGCTTGACTCTTTTCCTTTGTTGTAATATAGTGTTATAATCTCAGCTATTAATAGAAAAAGAAACAGTGGAGAAAAAAGAAAAGGGAGCAAATATCGAGTGCTTGTTTGCATTATTTGAGCTCGTACATAAATTGCAGTATTTGATTTTGATGTAATTCGGCTTTGTTGTGACTGAAACCTCTGGAGATTGTTTCTTCAGGGAGTGAGAGCCCACTGCACTAGATGCGTCAGGATGACCCTGACTTTCGTCGGTGGCTCCTATTTCTTTAGCTTATTGAAAGCACATGTTAGGCAGCTATTTGAATCTGTCATTCTTTCCAAAGATAACAGTTTTACCGAGTGACCACCCCCCATGCATACAGAAGGACGAGAGAGCTTTTATCTTGTCATTACTGAGGATAAGAGAGTCCTTTATGAAGTTTTGGCATGGAGACTTTTAGAGAGCTAGCACTTACCTCAAACATAGAGATAAGTGTAAGCCTGAGTAATTTCAACCATTCTTAAGATGTTTTACACAGTGTATGAGTCATTAAATTTGAAATGCCAGTGAACTTTAAGGATGTCTAGAAAATGATAGTGACATGGACGTCAGTTTCCTAATTTGAGTGCCTAGGTTGGGGTGATGCATTGTAGGAGAATGTCCTTGTTTGTAGGAAGTGTACATGAAAACATTCAGGGATGAGGTATATGCGGTCAGTAATTTCCATTCAAGGGCTTCAGGGAAATATTAAGTTCTCTGTAGTATACTTTCCAAGTATGAGGTCATTTCGAAAAATTACTTCAAAATCCTGAAGAAGAGTGCATTGTATTCTGTAACTATAAAAGAGTGAAGCTGACTGGTTGCGTAAGTCCCAAACGGAGCTATTTGAGAAATAATGGAGCATTTTATTAAATCGTTATTTTTAATTAAAACAAAATTTTATCTTTGATTTTAGACAGCATTAAATCTAGCGATTTCAGCATATTTTAATTTAATACTTGAGAATTCCTTTATTTCTGGTTGAGAGAAAATTTTACCCATGAAGTTTTAGGGTGGTTTTATTGAAGACTATTTTTAAATGTTTATCAACATGATAAGTATAATATATTTAAATTGGTCTTTAGTGATGAATCCAGATGACACATTTGAAGTATTAATTGATCAAATAGTCGTAAACAAGGGAAGCCTGCTAGAAGATGTGCTTCCTCCTATCAATCCTCCCAAAGACATCGAAGACCCCAGCGACGAAAAGCCCGACGAGTGGGATGAAAGAGCAAAGATCCCAGATCCTTCTGCCGTCAGACCAGAGGACTGGTGAGTGAGGCGTGGGCAGGGAGGCCTCGTTTGGCATGATTAATGACACGTAACACATAAGTGAAGTTTGGAAACTAATGAAACGTATTCTTTTGAACATCAAAACTAATTTTGAGTATTTTGGGTGAAATACTTTTCTAAAGTGGATTTTACACTTCTCTGCCTTTTAGTTATCTTAAAATTTCAATTTAATATCTTAATTTTCTTGCCTTTTTCAGTGTATTATTTTTTATGCTTTCAGTGCTATGGGAGGAAAATTCCACGATCTAAAACACCAACACTTTAATTGTAATTCCTAGTGTGATCTTTCTCATGCATGTGTGTGCATATTTGATATACTTGTCTTGAATATGTATATATAGTCTTTTCTGTTAATGATTACTTGGCCTTAAAATAGGAATATCCTCAAGATCTTATAAAACTGTCTAGGATTCACTTACACCATTTTGCTTAAACATAATTTTTTTGCTAGCTGAGTATTTGTGTCATTTTCATTCTACAGGATTATGAATATTTTTCCTAAAAGAAATGTATTCACTTCCTGAGTTTCCGTAGCTTGAGTTCCAATGGTGAGAGATACCTGTATGTCTGTCCATTCGAGGTATTCTTTTTCCTTCACACACCTTCTGTAATACATTTCTCCATAAAGATCTTGTCACCTTTATTCCTAAGAACTTTTATTTTGCTGCCGATTGGGTAACAATTATAGTTTTGCTAAGTAGATTATCTGTCTTTTTGTATTTAATGAACCATAGTAGTAATCTATGGATGTGTACCAAATTACCTAAAAATATAGCAGCTGAAGACAAAAACATTAAGTCAACCAGTTTCTGAGAGTTAGGCATCCAGGAGTGGCTAGCTGAGTGGGATGAATACTAAGTCCAAATTTAAAAAGTTTTCCTTTTAGTTTACTAAGAGATTTTTTTTTTTCATGATTAGTGTTGGATTTTGTAAAATGCTTTTTGTGTATCTGTTGAAATGACTATACAGGTTTTCTCCTTTATTTCTTTAGTATGGTGAATTATATTGATTGATTTTCTAATGTTGGACTAAACTTACAATCCACTTGGTCAACAAGTATTTTCCTTTGTATATTTGGTGGATTTTAATTACATTTTTTTTCAGTCAGTTATAGTGAAGCGTAATTTCATACAGTCAAATTCATTCATTTTAGATACATAGTTTATAGTTTTGATGAACGTATACAATGATATAACCACCAGCACAATCACGACATAGAATATTTACATCATCCAAAAAGGTCCATCCTACCCTTTTGTAATCAGCTCCCTCCTCCCACTCTAAAACTCTGGTTGTCACTGATCTGATTTCTGTCCCTTATTGTTTTGCCTTTTTTAGAATATCATATAAAATGGAATCATACAGTGTACAGCTTTTTTTTGTTTCTCGCTTCTTTCACTTAGAATAATACTTTTTGAGATTATTATGACTGTTGATATGGTTGGATGTAAACGCACCATCTCATTATTGTTTTCTCTTTGTTCCATACATTCTGTGGTATTTTCTAAAAAAATTTTCCTGACTTGTTTTGGATTGAGTTATTTTATTTTAGTCTTCTGTTTTTCCTTCTCTGTTGGCTTATTTAGCTTTTGCTCCGGTTTATTTTGGTGGTTACTCTAGGGTTTACAATATGCGTCTTTAACTTATTTCAATCTACTTTCAAATAACATTATACCACTTCTTGTCTAAGTTAACATCGTGCCCCTTCCATTCTTTGTACTTTTACATATATTTACTTTTTCTTTTATGTGATGGACTCGAATGTGCATTTTTTAAAATTTATTTATTTTAATTAGTTTCAAGTATACAATACATTGGTTAGATATTTATATAGTTTATAAAATGATTCCCCTAATTGCTCTTTCCTCTGGCCCTCCACCTAGCCAATATATTAATGCTAACTGCATTCTCTGTGCCGTGCTCCCCAACCCCGTGACCATCTATCAACTACTGATTTGTAGTTCTTTAACCCTTCACGCCATTCTCCCAGCAACCCCGCCCCGCTCCCCTCTGTCTGTCACCAAATTGTCCACTGTATTTGTGAGTCTGTTTTCGATTAGTTTGTTCTTTTTATTCCTTAGATTCCACATATAAGTGAAATCATTTGGTATTTATCTTTCTCTGTCTGACTTATTTCACTCAGCATAATAACCTCTAGGTCCATCCATGTCGTTGCAAATGGTAGGATTTCATTTTTTTAATGGCTGAGTAATATTCCATTGTACATATGAACCATAACTTCTTTATCCAGTTGTCTGTTGATGGGCATTTAGTAGTTCTGTACATACTATGATATGTTTATATATTTTAGAATTTACTGTTATTTTTTAAATGAAAACAAAATTACTAAAATTAAATATAGAGAGCATATTTAAAATTATTGGAGTAGGGAAGAGCTTTTCAAATATGACATAAAATTAAAAAAACAAAAGAAAATATTAACAAATTTTAATACATGAAAATAAATGATTTGTTATGGCAAAAAAAAAAAACTACCATAAACTATAATAAAAAATACATGAGAAATTGGAAAAATATTTTAAATTCATAGAGCTGACAGAGGGCTAACTTTTTATTAATTTATAATATATTGCAGGATATTCATTATAGCATTATTTGTAATAGTAAGTTTTTGGAAACACTGATTGTCCCTCAAGAGTAGATAGGTTAAAAAAATTATGGTATATCCACAAAATAGAAAACTATACAACTGTTAAAAGAATGAAGCAGATATATATGTATATAAAACGGGGATTCTTGAATAGTCTTGACACATAGTCAACATGCACTATGTATTTGTTAATGAATGATAGTTCACTTGTTGATGAAGTGACAAAAGCAACATTTAACATACTGTGTATAGAATGCTCTCATTTGTGTAAAAAGAACATATACATATATGAATGTACGTATAGAGCACAACAAGGACTATTTACAAAAAAACTGGCAAGTTAGCAGAAGATTTAGATGGATGAGAGCTGGGGAGGTAGTAGACGAAAAGAAAAAGGATAGGAAATACCTTTTGGTGCCTTCTGAATTTTGTAACGTGCATTTTTAAACTTTTTGAATAATTAATAATTAATGTAAAATACTGTGTTTATAAACAGGGATGAAAGTGAACCTGCCCAAATAGAAGATGTAAATGTCGTTAAACCTGATGGCTGGCTTGATGATGAACCAAAATTCATTCCAGATCCTAGTGCTGAAAAACCTGATGACTGGTAAACATCCTTCCTCTTCAGATGTCAATTTCATATGTTTCTTACTCGCTTTTTTGTTCCTAGTGTGTATGACTGACAGGAGAGACTTGAGCTTATTATATTTGCTCTGTTCTAACCTCCTAAGGAATGAAGACATGGATGGAGAATGGGAGGCTCCTCGTATTTCTAACCCAGCATGTCGGATTGGGTGTGGCGAGTGGAAACCTCCCATGATAGATAACCCAAAATACAAGGGAGTGTGGAGACCTCCAATGATAGATAATCCTAACTACCAGGTGATAACACCTTGTTCCAGTCTCACTGTAGCATCAACAGTGTTATGCGCTTTCTGTTATATGTCTAGTTACTGATAATGTGATGTTAAATTTGTAAAATTCATTTATAATAGTGTGCTTTAGCTATCTCGAGAAGTCAAAGAAGATAGACTCCAACTAATCTGTATTTAAAAAATAATTCTTTAATTTTCTGGAAAAATAATTTTAAGAACTGGAGATCAGTGACTTCATACTATATTTTTCCCTAATAATCAATTGGTGATCACTTTGGAATAAGATTCTATTTTGGAATTAAATATAAGAAATGAGTTCTCATCAAGAGGTTTCACATTGTTCATTTCAGTGATTAATGCTTGCGCTTAATTAATGTTCTACTTACTTTCTAGTGTTATTAAAATTTGGATTTTTTTTCTTTTGAGCGTTCCTAGCTTTTTGTAGAAGTCCCTGTGTTATCCATTTTGTCTAATTATTCACTGACATTTTCTAACATTGATTATACATATGCAGTTACATATTCTAATTGCTCGCTGTAGTTTTTCTTCATAGCATTTATCACAAAATGTTTATTTTAGTAACTTTTTTCTTTAGTATCTGTCTTCCTCATTAGACTTTAAACTCCATAATACAGGAACTGTATCCCAGTATCTGGCATAGTGCCTGGCACAGAAAATTATGTATGTATGTAATGTGTATATGTACATGCATATATATGTACACATATATATATATATGTGTACATATATATATGTACACATATATATATATATGTATATGTATATGTATATGATGGCAGATGAGTCAGTG